GATTTGTAGGCTCGATGATGGCTGTTATGTGTGGAGCGATCGCAGTTAATTTGTATAATTGATTGGAATTATTGTGACTGTTTGGAGACTGAATTAGAGGCTGGATATTTGTTGGTCACGGACTGATTTGGCAATGAAAAATTGAGGTTTAGTAGATTTGGATAGGGCAGTGATATTGTGGATCGATCGGGATTAGGTGTTGGGCTGAATATGGCGTGGCTGTGTGCCGTGTGTATGTGGCTGTGAGGTGTGGCGGTGTGGTAGTGTGAATGCGCATTGAATTCGCGTGTTAAATGTGTATGGTCGTGTGGTGTATTTGTATGACGAGAATGTGTGTTTGTGAAGTGTACATGAGATGTGAATTGGTGCGTGGTTATGAATGCGTGTGAGGTGTGTATGTTTGGTCGTGCGACTGTTGACCATGTGTAAGTGCGGTTTGAGTGGAACGAGGATACGGAAATGTGGAATTGGTTGGAAAGGATCCGTCCTGAGGCGTGTACGTTTACGCGGGACGATGCCGTCCCTGACGAGGTGACGATGCCCGGCCCGACGGGGTGACGATGCCTGACGTGGTCAGAAGACCGTTGGCCTGATGCGTTTTACGCGGGCGAGGTGGAAGGAAAGTGTGTGTAGGATTCCGTCCTGAGGCGTGTTCGTTTACGCGGGACGATGCCGTCCCTGACGAGGTGACGATGCCCGGCCCGACGGGGTGTCGATGCCTGACGAGGTCAGAAGACCGTTGGCCTGATGCGTTTTACGCGGGCGATGTAGTGGTGGAAAGAGTTGAGAACGAGCGGGATTTGGCTTGACATGTGAGGATTGTGAAAGTGATGCATGGTGTGAGTTAGTGTGTGAGTGTGTTTGTATCGCGTGATGCAGTGCGCGATTATGGGGTAAAATCTGCTAGGCATGGTATGGGACGTGTCCAAGTAGGTTTTGCTTTATAATCGAGGCACGCGCGCAGCTATGATGTATTGCTGTGGTATGATTGACGCGTGTATTGATATGTGGAAAGTGTGTGATGGCATGTGTGCAAGAATTGTATGTTGGGATTGTGGGCTAATGTGCATGGTGCGTATGCAGAGAGTCCAGGTATGTGTGAATGTTTGATTGCTGGTTGTGTGGTTGTTTGGTTGCGCGTTTGGATGTGTCTGGAATTACGTGATAGCCTAGGTGGGGCTTAGGTTGTGACTTATTGAGATGTGATCTCATGGTTGTTTCAACCAAACCATTTTGAGCCCCCGCCCGAATGTCGAGATTGAGGTCGACTCGTAGTCGTCGGTGAGCGACAACAGTGCGGAGGATTCGGGTGGTGATGCCGAGGACGTGAGTCGAGTGGACGCCTTCGAGAGGGCGTAGGGGATAGTTCTGGGAGGAGGATGCGCCCCATTTTTGGATAGTGTTGACCTAGAGAGTTGATCTTGATATTTTGGTGGTTTGGAGTTTATAGTTCGGTGTGCTTATAAATTATTTTGTGGTTTGTATTGGCGGATGATGTAAATATTTGGAAGTGTAATATATGCTTGGTGGTTTGACGATTTGTTCCTTCCTGGTGTTCTCCAATTTTAATGTCCGGGATTTTTGATTGCTTCCGCCGCGAGTTAACTCTGATGGATCGTTGGGTCGGCGACGTCATTCCTGGGACGTCGCACTCTGTTCGACCGGAGGCGGGATGTCGCGGGCTCGACGGGGGTTCGGGGCGTGACACTAAACACCGTGTGAGTTATTAAATGTAATTGGATTTTGGAAATACTTAGAGTGTTTAAGTAACTCGAATATAATTGTAATTTTTATTGTATCGTTTTATCTATAGTGGAATATTATATCACTCTTCCCTTAGATTGTACCAACCAAACTATGTAAATTTTTTATCTAATTTATTTTCTTATTCTGTATATTTTATAGTTTGATCGCTTGTGTTTCGCAACAATTAAAGTCAACGAATTTTGAATATGCAAACTTTCTGAGAGGTGCCAAAAAGCAAACAAAGGGCTGCCGTAATTTTTTCTGTTTTTATATTGGTAAGGAGAACTGGAAAACGGTATGTATCCGCATTAGAAATAGTTATTTAAAAGATTGCCCAGATGCGACTAGCGTGGACACAACCTTATTTACCATTTTATTCAAGACCCTGCTCAAGTATTCTTAGCTAAATAACATTTCGTCTTACATATTTAGTATGGTCTAAATAGCATTCTACGCCATCGAAAGGAAAAACAGATTAAAAAAAGGAAGAAGGAGAAGCTAAACCGCAACAAGCAACAAATCCGCTTAGCTACAAGATCAACACGACTCGGCTAGTGATGATTATGTATTGTATGTAATTGAGGATTCATCGTTTGATAGATGAATTATGGATTTTAGTTGCTGTATCTCTCTACACTAAACAGAAACTAGCTTACTACATATCAATGCATGAATAGTGGCAAGTTGCAATTGAAGAACAATGCTAAGTACGATGTTGTTGATTTTGGCGATGTCAAAATCAAAATACATGATGATATCGTAAGAACATTACTAGAATGTGACATATTCTAGAATTGAAAAAGAATATGATTTTCTTAAGTGTTGTGGATTTAGCCTTGTGTTGGTATACTTTAGAGAATGAAGTTTATGAGGTCATACGAGCTTTCCTAATGATAATAAGAGAAATCAAGCATAGTAGCCAATATGAGCTCCAAGGGAAGACAATGACATGTTTTGCCGTCATGAGGTTGGATGTATTTGTTCAAAAATCTTAATTGTGGCACATGCATTTGGGATACAGTGGCGAAAAAAGCCTAAAGGTTCGAGTGAAAAGAATCTATTGTGTGGTTATTATAAATGTGTAGTTTATATGTTTTATATAGTCTTTCTATGATTATGTTTCTAATTGTACCAAGACTATAATGGATCGCTATTATAAAAACACATCATACAATCCTAATTGAATTGAGCCACCGTAAATATTTTATTATTATTTTCTCTCTTACTTTAAGCATCAACATTTATGTGGCTGAAAAACTAAATATATGTAGGTTCCGCAAATGCTATGACTTAAGCAAACAGCAGAAAGTGCAGTTTTGTACAACCACATAAATTGTATAGTAGATTCACTTGGATGATCACAAGTCGTCACAGTTTCCAAGGAAGAGTGCCAATATAATAGCAAGCAAGAGTCAAGTTTACACCCGCCTATTCCAACATATCAACAATTTATCCCTATAATTTATTCAAATTCAAAAATACTCAATTGAAATTGGTCGGCTAAGCTATTGCCAGAAGCTGGTCACTTGCTGCTAAATTGTGAAGAATTGCCTGAATGCTTTGTTCCCGAAGCTCAAACATAGCCCATTTTCATATCCAAGGAGCTCAATAAACAAACTTGCCAAAAGTTTTTTTTTTTTTTTGGTAAGGAACAAACTTGCCAAAAGTTTCTATTTTATTAAATCGCTTATTAAAAAAAGGAAAAAAAATAACTGCATAGAGGACATTTAGGTTTCATTTTCCTTTTTTATAGTTACTTCTTTACTTGTCAATTGGATTCGCATACTTCCTACACAAAAGAAGCCCTCAATGCTCGGAAGTCACATAAGAATCGATAATTTGCCTGTTGAAATGCTCCAAGTAGATATGACTCCTCCGTCGTACATGGACACGAGCATCAAGTAAAAACCACAATTACAGGTTTGGAACACGTTGTGCGTGGCAAGGAAAGAGTGATACTTCATCGTTGGATATGTGTAATTCCCACAAGGCACTTCACAGGACAGGTCCAATTTGCCCGATTGAGGAGGATTAGGTTGCCAAGAGTAATTCCTCAAGAAATATCAAGTCATTTCTTCTTTCACGGCATTACAGGCATTTTGAACAAGAATACTATGATGACTTCCCGAGTCGAAGACAAACCCAATAGGTGCGGTCCGATCTCATTCAGAAAGCTACAAGATCTATTTAGGCGTTTCCCATTGATGCTCATGCCCATGACGTTAACTATGTACTTGCTTACATTAGATATCGTAAGTGTCATCTGAACAGTTGAACGGCTAGCTACTTGCGCATCGTCCCCAAAGTTAAGTAAAATGGGTATTCTATGAAGGCAAGCAATGCGATACTCTTTCTTTAGTCTCACGTGTATTTTCGAACGATAGCTCTCCTCCCCAAGCCCAAGCCCAATTTCCCGCATATGGTGTCATTTGCTAAGCCGCAAAATGGGTACAGTTATGGGGAATCCTCTAACGAATCTATGCTGTCCTGAAAGATAAAGCTGTCCAATGCAAACTGCCCCTTGCTATAAGTCCCAATACTTCCCATTCCGAGGCACCTCAGATCACAGGCACAATTATCGTTCATATATATGTGTGTGTGTGAGGAACACATAGAGGATGTTCACTAGCATATGAAAATTTTTATTTACTGTGCAAACCGTCGCGTTGGTTTTGTAATACCAGATTGAGTTCGAAAGAAAATGAGGAAACACACTGAGAGAGCTTCGTGTCGAGAGATTGAGAGAAATAGATAAGAGGGAAAAGAGTGTGCGTGTTTGTCAGAGCGATTCGTATGTAGGATGTTGTTTGACTGATTTTATGTTTTCCTCCAAGGGTTCGGTTTCAATTGTGCTTAGATTTGTTCTGTTTTTCTTCTACAGTTGCATGAATTCAAAGACGAGACTCAAGTTTTAACGTGTTGAAACTTGCAGCAGTTTGTTTCCAAATGAAACCAATCTATCACAATGTTGATCGCTTCTTTCACAATATTAAGATTGTTATGCATACTTTCTTGAAGAATGCTAAATAGTTTCAAATTCATCTGGTCAGTTGTATTACTAGTTAGTAGTTAATTGTTCCAATTTGATTAGTTTTTGCAAGAACTCAAAGGCCCAGGTAAACGAGCGGTTCCTAATGCTCAACGAAATGGCTAGGAGGGACACTAAAATAGCCTCGGCCATCACGGTTTAGATCTTCTGCTCACAAACTAGAGTTATGCAAACCACCTGTCTGAGCTGAGCTTCAACACAATGCTTATTGCAACACAGTTTATTTAGAGTAAGCACCTTATCAAGTGCACGCATATGCAAGTTACTTGCTAAAGGGGATAGGTGATCAATCCAAATCTTGATTTCACACAAACTCTCCCTTGTACCTCCTCGCAGCCTCCCGACTGTCAATAGTAGTGGTGTAATTCTGCTCTGGTGAGGATTTGGCATTCCCATATCGCCTTCTGGCTTCCTTGCTGTCGATTGTTTCAAGGATCGAATCTTTTTGGGGAACTTTACTGCCTAACGAGGGCTTCACAGCTTCCTTTGAGAACTCCATTATCTTGCCTGTTTCATTCATCGGTTCAAGCCCCATAACATGACCACGCCTCTCCCTACCTCCTGTCGTGGTCATAGAAAGTGGTTGAATGGTCCTCTCTCCTCTCTCAGACGAGGTATAATTATTTGGCAAAATGGACTCTGTTGGATGGCCAGGCCTAACGGCAGTACCACCTTCTGTGGCTACAGGCAGTTTCGGAATTTTATCACCTTTATAGTGACCAGGATCAGGGACTTCATCCGTGATGGTATTGACAGAGGATGGATCCAGAACTTTCTTGAGGTACTCCATTGCTGTGTCTATGTCGTTCATCGGTTTGCTGAGCTCCATATTGGGAACACGCCTCTCCCAATGTCCAGCCATGATCGTAGATGGTGGTTGGCTGGTTCGCTCTCTCTCAGATGATAAATGGTGACTCGGTAGCACGGGCCCTGTTGGATGACCAGGCCTAGCCCCATAAACCCCTTCTGTTGTCACCGGTGGTTTCAGAATTTTGCCAGCTTTAAGGTCACCACAGTCAGTTTCCTCGCCCTTCATGGTATTGGTGACAGGCTTGTGCCGTTCCTTCTCATGGTCACTATCCTGAGTGTTGCCGGTAGTGCCATAATAACCTGCAGAGACAGGGATCTTGACCTGGTATGGAGCCCTTGGAGCACCGTACCCAGATGGTTTGCTCACTTCATTCTGGATCTTGTTGGAGAATTCCTCCACCACAGGCGGCTGGTTGCCGGTAGTGCCATAATAACCTGCGGAGACGGGGATCCTGAGCTGGTGCGGGACCCGTGGAGCACTGAACCCAGATGGTTGGCTCACTTCATTCTGGATCTTGTTGAAGAATTCCTCTACCACAGGCGGCCGGTCATTGCTAGGGATCGAAGGCCCGTGCCGCTGGTTGTTGACTACTCCATAACTCCGGCGGTGCTCATACCTTGGGGGAGAGCGTTGTCTGTAGGATTCAGAGAACATGGATGGATGGACGCGTTCAACGGTTGTTTCGATTTTCATGACATAGGTCCCTGGGTTTTGATAAGGGTCACCAGCAATCATTCTTCTTCCCTCGAATTCATCAAGGGCTGGACGGCACAGCTGCTCGGAATTGTGGCTCCCTTCAGTTTCCCATGGATCGAATTCATCGTGGGGGTTATGGCTTCTGTAGGAGTAACGATACCCTGCCAGAAGTTAGACCGGAGTCTTAGAAGACTTCCTAACTTGGGCTAAAACTACTAAAGCTCTCTCACTTATAAGGGATGTTATTCTCTCCTTTTATAGATGTTCATCTGGCATTCATCAGGAGCATTAGATTCTAGTATGTTGATTGAGTAAGTATCGTATCATATGCTGGTTTTTCGAATCTTCTGTCTCATCTATTCTTGGAATTATTTTCACCGAAAGAAAAAAATGATCGAGGAATCTTGTTCGAGCACTCAATAAAGGGTGAAGTCCAACTTTTAACGGTCAACAAACGCATGTTAAGGGAAACACGAGTCCATGACTGGATAGTCTTGCCAAATCTACCAGATAAATATTTGTAAATAGACAGGATAACTCACCTTTGAACGATTCAGCAGTCCGCACTTTCAACAAAGGTGAGACAGAAGACGTCTGATCAATCCTAATACTACCCTCACCTGCGATTGCTGATATTTATCCAATACGAAAGATGGGAAGAATAGATGCTAAAGCAGATGGAACCTCATCTTCAATGCCTTTGCCTTCCAGAGTGGATAACTCTGAATCTATCGCGGATTCATATGTTAATCTCAAGCTTGGAATCGAGGTCCACATGTTAGGACAATGAAATTTCTGCCAAATAAACTGAAACTTCTTTGGTGGAATTTATAAAGTTGAGGAGATTATAATCAGCAAGCAAGCGTAGGAACTACTCTCAAATAAGATCGGACTTTCAGAATTTCGTCAGGTACGAGCTTATGTAACGCTCTTGTTTATTTACTACAAGACTTGCTGCTTTGGCTTGTAGTTGATTTTTTGCCTATGTAGGAGTATCGGATCGATCTTAACTGTGATCGATGTACAATACCTAAATAAGAATTTTCCAATGAGGTAATGAGGTAAGTAGCACAAAGTTAATTGACTGAGAAAGAAATCCGCTAGAATAAAATTGCTTAGGCAGATACTTGGTTTCAGAGGTGCTAGTATACCCAACCCACATTTCTTTGCCTGATAAAGATTCCTTTTTCCAGATCCGAATAAAGCTTTGAAGAATCTAATTCCATGATTTCAAGGATTACGATATCCATCAATTGAAATGCTTTCAGATATTTCGGGCTTGTTGCTTTAGAAATATACTGATAGTCTTCTTCAGATTACCCAAAGAGCGCTAACCATCTAGATATCGACAAAAGAAGACTGTATTTTTCAATAGGAAATTAGATATACAGGAATGGTGTTTACAAATGTTCATGTTCAGCCGAGACGTAGGCCGGTCACTCTAAATGAAATGCATGAGGCCCAAACTATTTCGAAAGCCATCACGGATTATCAGGGCTCAAATGCCGGAACTTCATGTAAAGGAGAATGTAAGGCTCTATGTATAGTTCTATCAAATATATTCTGATAAGGGTCCTCCTCTCGCTTCTTGAGCAGATACGCTATGCAGCTTTCGACTCCGGATTTTACCTGCAGGTACAACTCGTTTGCGTTTTCTCTGTCCTTCAGTGATTCATATCTCCCCCTTGTCTCCATGGGCTTCCCAAACGGATAGTACAAGCGGCCGGGTATCCTTGGCAAAACCGCTGGAATAGAAAGTGCTTCATCCTCCCTAAGAAACAGGACATAATTCGTATGAGTTTCAGAAGAATTTCGCAGTATGCTAAGTGATTTTATAATTTCAAAGGCCATCCAAACAAAATCTATACACATAATCTATTGAAGGTCATGGTTAGGAAGCTACCTCGCTCGTAAAGCGTTGCGAGTAGATTCTCTGATGCAGTTGCTGACAAATGGAATCTTCATCAGATCATTGTAATCAAGTACCAACTGCCCGCTCAAAGTAACAATCACATCATCATCAGAATGCAATGCTGAAGTACGCCATAAACACGGGTTTATTTCTAGACTTGCCTTATGACTCTTTTAATTTGAAAACATTAGACAACGGTGGTCAGATCAAAAGTTCACGAGGAAAATGCATCAAAACCATACTTAATTCAGCCAAATTTATCAACCATGCACGTATTTTAACTAAACTAGCTGAAAATAGTTGAAAGATTAAACTCGAACTCCGAAGGTGTAAAGCAGAAGGAATAGAAGAGGTGAGCTGTATATGCAATAGTGACAAACCCCAAGAAGTAGAAAGGGATAACGACACAAACAGTCCCTAAACTTTGGCCAATGTGCAATTTGGCTCGTAAACTTTTAATTTGTTCAATGTGGTCCCTGAACTTTAGGCTAATATTCAATGTGGTCTTTGAACTTTTAATTTGTTCAATGTCATCTCTGAACTTTTGATACATGTTCAATTCGGTCCATGAACTATATGAAAATGTTCAATGTAATCCCTGAACTTAAATTAATGAAACGGACTACATTGAACATTTTCATATAGTTTAGGAATTGAATTGAACATGCACCAAAAGTTCAGGGATGACATTGAATAAATTAAAAGTTCATTGACCATATTGCACATCAGATTAAAGTTTAGGGACTACATTGAAAAAATTAAAAGTTCAGGGACCAAAATGCATATTGGGCCAAAGTTCATGTATTACTTGTGTCATTTTCTCAAGTAGAAATAAAATGCTATTCGAGTATTGATTGCAGAGACAAGAGCCAAATACCAAACTTTAATGCAGAAATGGAAGAGCTTACTTCCGTGAAGTCATCCTCTCCCACAATTGCAAATGGTACTATTGTGGCGCCAAACCGTGCAGCCATTCTCACAAATTCTGGCTGGTCTGGTCAAAATAACTTGTATTCTTCACCCTACAAATGAAACATAATAGTGCTGAGCTGAACTTAACAAGCATAATTTTATTGAAAATATGGTAATTACGAGTAACTCTATAATCATTACATATGAATCCTCCAGAAACATACACTCTAAGAGGCAATGGCAAGACCAAATTACTCGTGCTCCTAAATACTTTATATGACAAACAACTAAAAATTTGTGTCACTAAAATGATACTGTCGGTATATAATCTTCACATCTTGTATTTAATGCCCTTAAAGAGAAAATGTGTACTTACCTACATAAAATAATTATCACTTAAGACTCACTTAACTTCTTAACCACCCCATGTCACCACAACCGGCTAGACCACTGCCACCACAGCAGTTGCCGCCACCATCTGAGCTAAATGGCTTTAGTATCTGACATCGCAACCGCAACCACTTGCCGGCTGCCATTTCGAATCTTCTTCTGCACATGGCTTTACATCTTCACTCATAAAACTTATGTTGTGGAAGGTCCTTCTTACCTTATAGCCTCGACCCATGTTCTATTTGCAAAATTATTTTTCACAAGATTTCTTTGATGATTAGATTATTAATAAGATCAGTTGGGACCCACTCATCGGTGGCCGCGTTGGTTTGCGCTCAGTTCCTTTCACAAGAGGTCCTGGGTTCAAACTCACCCATCGGTGATTTAAGTGGGGGGTCGTGGCGGTGAGATGCTGCGCTAGCCCCCCTCGAGGACTAGCTGGGCATCACCGCTGATTTGAGCCCTAGCTCGCCGGCCGTGCGGACACCTCGATTATCAAAAAAAAAAAAAAAGATCAGTTGGGTTAAAACAGGATCAGATACAGTAGCTACACTGCGCAAGAGAACTAATTAAACTGGAAGTAAGGTACTTACTCACCTTATAATGGAGAGCCTCACGTATTCCACCTGGATAAAGTAGAACATGAGATTTGGTCGAAAACAATTTGAAGAGGTTGCTTCCCGTTACAGGAACTGCTCCGAAGACTTTCATCCAATCAGACAGACTAAATTCAGAAGATGGATTTTCCATCTTTCCAGAGAACAACTCCGGATGAGCTACCCCACGCACAACAATGTTCTTCTCTCTCAAGAATTCTTCAACAAGTGAATAAAGCTCAAGTCCCATCAACATGTGATAACCGACTAACAACACCGGTCCTTCGGAAGGAACCCCTGAAAGGCCTCTCACTATCTTCCCATTTTCTGAAGTTGAGAATAATGCTGAACTAGATGCATTGCGAAATAGTCTGCATTTATCCGACCACAGCATCAGACTAAGATTGATCGGTTGCAATTAATGAATCAGCATGTAAAATGAGCATTTGTGGAAAGGTATGACCCATCCATGTTTGTGCTGGGCTCAGCGATGCCACTGATAGCATTAGAATTGGCAATACTAGACATATTTTCAATCACAAATGACATTCAAATTAAGAACTTGACTTGCGATTGAAGTTTGATTTGGGGGAAATCTCCTCTCAATCTCTTCTTAACCAAATTAATGAATTTTCTTGCTCTTCTTTTTCCAAATCAATGAATTTTAAAAAACAATTAAGGACCATTTTACTTATATTTGTTGAAATATAAAGAAAAAGAAAAGGAGAAAATTCCAATTTGTTGGTCACCTTTTGGTTTCACAATATGTTTGTTATTCGGGGGCTATCTTTTTGGTTTCGACTGGAGAATCCCCACGGAAACGAGAGAGATATGATCCCGACCCTGCGTTTTTTTAACCCTAAGCGACATGTATTGTGAACCCGAAGGAGAATCAACTTTTGACTCGGACCTAATCATAAATATCTTTGACCCAAAAGCCAAAAAAAATTCGATCCTTTTGCTCTTGACTGACTCGACCATTGACTTGCTTTTGGGTTCTTCCTCCACCGTCCCAAAAGACTCGTGTAAATGGATCGCCATCCAAAAAGTCACCCACGGCTCCGAATTGGACCACGTTTATCTAAGCATACGTATCAAGAAAGAAACGATTTTTCAGATTGACTGAGCGGTCAGGAGATTGATCTAAGCGCATGAACTGAACCTGTGAAAAATCGGATTGTTCGCATCACTAGCTGTTCGCATTGCTAGCTGCAAATAACTTCCGCAAGTAGACCACCCGAGGGTCGGACTTATGTTTGTGTCTTACCTAATCTACGAGGCTAATGCAATGTTCCATGGCGTTCTAAGATGAGCTTTCTCTAGCTGTGAGAAAAAAAAATGACATGAAGAGTGAAGTAGTATCCATTTTCCCAATTTTAAGCATGCATTTTTAGTTTTATCATATGCGATTATCCACTGACTGATTTTTTCAGCAAAACCAAACCAAATGCGTGGAAATCTGGAAAATTAATTCGCAGGAAATGCCTTCGCCCAAACAAACTCATCTTTAGTTCTATCGTGTTTTTGTATCGACACGGCATGAAAAGTTTGCTCCAATTGGCAATGGGCCCATGGCCACGTGGACGGCTCTTCGCTGATTGACTAAGGGTGCGAATGGTAACCATTCTGCTCCAGAAATCAAATTCTTGCCAGAAATTGATTTCTGGAGGAGAAATCTGTTTGGTAAAACATGACTAATTCTGCTCCAGAAATTGATTTATGGAAGAGAAATCCGTTTGATAAAATAAGAGGAAATTTCTACTTTTGGATGAGAAATATATTTGATAACGGCGCGTCAGTTCTATTTCCGCAACAAATATAGTTCGAACTCAATTGCAAAATATTATTTATCTTAACCTACAATGCATGATATTCAAGGTAAAATCTAGTACATTTTTTTAAATCCTCAAATAAAAAGAACAGAAATTCCAAAATAACATGTCATTACAAGAAGACCTGGTACCAAATCCTCAATTACACATAATACAAATCCTACAATACAACATTATATTACAAAAGGCAAAAAAAGCAAATAATCCTTGAATAATAATAATGGAAGTACAATACAATAGTGGAAAACCGAACTTCATGGAATCTCCGGCATATGATTATCCCTAGCCATTTTATTGGCAATACGTTTCCTAATATTGTTCGTCTCGGTTCCCTCTTCGATCGTTGCTACATCGTCTGTACCCTGTTCAGTAGGTTCACACACATAATCCGGATCTCCATATATGGACAAACACTTATCCATCCTATCTTGCTCAATGATGTAGTTATGGATCGCATAGCATGCAATTACAATCTGTGTTTGTTTTTCAAATTTAAATGGAGGCATCTGTCTCAAAACAAAAAAACGATTCTTTAAAGCCGCAAAGGATCTCTCAATGATATTCCTTAATGAAGAATGCCTGTGGTTGAACAATTCCTTTGCTGTTGTTGGTCCCCCACTTCGTCGAAATTTTGGTATATGATACCGTTCGCCTTTAAATGGTGTTAAAAATCCTGGACTTGAAGCATAACCAGAATCGACGACGTAGTACTTGCCTACAACAAAGTATTCATGGATTGATCATGTAATGCAATCCTAGCAAAATCATAAACACAAATACTCATTATATATCAAAAAAGCACCTGCGGGCGGTCGAGGAAATTGTAGGTGAGGTGTGCCAAGTGCAGCCGACAACACCCGACAATCGTTGGCTGATCCTTCTCAACCAGCATACACAAAAGTAAATCGCATATCAAAGGAACACACACACACACAACACGTTCTGAGTAGTTGTGCCTTTTCTACCTCTAAATCGTGGTTGCATATGTTCAGGTACGGTAGCATGAATATGGGTGCCATCAATAGCACCTACGCACCCCTGTCATTTAATTAAATACATATATTAGATAAGATTGTGAGCAAAACTAATCAAATGGTGCATGGAAATGTACGAAAAACATACCTTGAAGTAACGATTAAACTTTGGCTCAATCTGAATTTCTTCTGGGACAACATCAAATGAAGGAGGTACGATAATCTCCTTCGCCAATTCCAAAACAGCTTTCAACACCGCTGCAAAGTACTTGCTAACAGTCTCTCCTGAACATTGGAATCTCTCACATAAAGCTCTGTTGGAGTTCTTGTGACAAATCATTAATAAAAACATGGCAACCTGTTCATCTACCCTAACATATCGACTGCCTGCCAACCAACCTCTTGACTTGAGCAAACCACAAAGGTTAAGAAAAACATGTCTTTCCATTCTAAATGCTTCGTATACTCTATCTGAATGTTCATGAAGAAGCTCGCTAACCCATTGGGGTCCTGTCAATACGCTGTCCCTAATACGTTCTGTCCTGTGCATGGACCTATGCAACCAAGCAATACACAACCATGCCAACAATATTTTCAACTCGTCCTCATCAAAGTCTTGTTCACCTGATACAATTGTTTCACTTGATGCTACTTGATCATTAGACCAGCTACTTTGACCCCCTTCCATATTACCTAGGCCATCATCCGAGAGAAGAAGACAAACTCAACATGTCAGTAGGGAAGCCAATACATTTGAACTGATATGTTGGGAATTTAATATCACTCAATAGATAATTATGGAATTCAATCACATTAAAGCAAAGTTTCAACATCATCACAAACGCATAGTCATAAAGACAAGTCAATGTCTGAAATACATAAGTGAAAAGCCGAAATGAACTCAAACATAAAACGGCATACTATAGCCCAACAACTACTCAACAGCCCCTAACTACTCATCCATAGCCTCAATAAAGGCAACTCTCATTTCGGGAAGACATGTTAGGAAGCCCTCTCTCCAAGAGGCATTAATGACAGCATGTTTCATAGCTTTGATGTAAAGAGCCTTGTCCAAGTCATGCATGGCATTTAGGACAGCACCCACGGTTGCTATAGAGTAAGGGTCCATAGGTGTTGAGGACTGTGAGGTGACGGAGGCACTTGATGTTTGAACCGTCTTAGCTTTGATCATCTCTTGAATGGCTTTGCAAGTCGCGTCAAATGAATGCGAACTGCTCTTTCTCCTCCTCTTGGCATTTGGAGTCCTATCCAACATGTGACTTTTTGGAGGTGGGCTCGTCGGCACGTTAAATTGTTCCGCATCAACTTGAGTTTCGAAAAACAGTTCAGGTTCGCTTAGGTTGACATGAACATCATTGTCACCACCACCACCGCTGTCACCTGTACCCTCCGACGGTGCCACGCTTTGCGCATTTCCTATTGCAAACTCCCCAGTGGCGTATGTATCCCCAAACACAACACAAAGCTGTGAATACAAAGGAAATCCGTCCTTCCTGAACTTGGCCCATTCAGTATTATCCTACACCATTTTCAAAATAATGTCAGGCAGTACTCAACATTTTATAAATCTGAAATTTGAGGTTACAATAATAAGATGACCTAAGTAAGTAACATCACCTTAATGTGATTTGCCCAAATAGTTTCATCGTCCACAACAACCCTCTTGCTGTCATCGTCCCATCCAAATCCCGTTGTTGAAAGCAGTTTCTTAAAACTACCATATTGTCTCTTCAGTTTATGTGCCTTGTTCTTGAACTGTGTTAGACTAAAGTGAAGTCCTGTTTGTTCATTGAATTCTTTTTCAATGTTAATCCACCCAACTCTGTTGTAGGTACATGACGTGCGATTTCCCTTTTTTACTTCATCTACCATCAGACTTACAAACAATTCGGTCAACGGCTCAGTCCACTTTGCCATGTACGTGCATTTGGAGGATTCCATTTATGTAAAATCGATGAAATTTCAGGGGCAAATGCTGGTAATGACGATTCAACAAACAAACAAGAATTAAATAGAGGAGCACATCTACAAAAGAGAACATAAATTGTACCTGAGCAGAGAATTTCACACCCTAATGTCATTAGTTTCAAGCTATTGAGAAACGAAGTACACCACCAGCCAAACTTGATAGTCACTATTCAATCAAAGAGAACATAAAAGATGCATAGTCCATATATCAAATTATGTAAGGGGCTTGCCTACTAGTGGAAACATGCAAAAAAAAGTCGAAATGAACTCACGTTAAAAAAAATTATGCTAAAATTTGAAACAAGTCCCAAGCTGAACTGCACCGTCAACCAAAGAGTGATTTGTAAAATCAGAGAATGAACTCACTATCTCAGAATCTGGGATCAAGTCCGATGTTCTCCAGAATCTGGTTTGTGCGAGAAAAATGCCTGTTTGATTTGTAAAATCGGGTTATTATCTCAAGTAACATTTGACTGCTTGAAAATTGTATCTAAAGGAAGGAAAGGACATGAAGAAACACTGCCCCTGGAGCCACTTCAACAGCTTTTAAGTTATTCAATTCAAAAGAGACTGCACTTGAACTGTTATCATTTGGTGTACAGGACTAGTCTTCGTGTGCACACAGGTAGACATCATTTACCTAAGTACTAAACATTACTCTAAGAACATGAAGATTTATGAGATTTGCACAACTCCGTGGCATCTAGATTCATGAAACCAGCCCCAGCAAGCTTTACTCATAATATGCACGGTTCCCTTGACATTTTTTTATCGGAAGTTCCCTTGACATTTAACGGCACAAATTTAGTTCAAGTGCAAACCAGATTCTGAATTGCACCGTCAACCAGAGAATGAACTAACTATCTCAGGTCGATAAGCTATCTTTCACTTGTAAGCCGTCCTCCCAATCCATAAAATTTAAACATCCCGAGGTAAACCCATCATCTAGTGCCTGTGCTAAAACTAAAGCCAGTGTTCGAGATGCCGCCTACAAATGATAACCCACATAAAAACGAGACAAAAGCTTTTACTACTTGCGGCAATTCGCCGCGAACCATGAAACCGAGACACGAATGACGAAACAAACCGATTTAGGGTGCACAACCCACACATCATAGCCCTTTCGAAACCGAAATCCCACGGCTCAACTTCAATCTCAACCTCAATCCGCAACATGCTAATCAAGTTCTCGCCATACCACTCCGCGGCGTCTCGTTCCCTCGTTCTGACTCGATCGAGCGAGATCCGCGTGGGCCGCGTGCCCTAAACGGGCGGCCACGTCGCACACAGCGGATTGTACCGAAGGAAAAAGCTAACGAGAGGAGGTGAAACAGTTGGAGGAATCAAAGACTCACCAGGGAGAGCCAAATCGATCTCCGCCGTGTGAGGTGGTGGCTCTGGTACAGTCGCGAGGAGGGATGGGGGGCACGAAACTGAAGAGGCAGAGATATAGGGAGGGCAAAATCGATCGCCGCCGCGTGCAGTGGCCGTTCCGGTGTAGTCGCGGGGAGGGAAGGGGAGGGCACGAAATTGAAGAGTTGAACGAGATGGAAGACAAAGAAAGAAATTAGGGCTAGAATGATCTCCAAAAGAGAGAACGAAGGAAGAGAAAGAAAAGGAAATGAGGGCAGAATGAGTTCCGGGAAGAGAGAAGCTACTTTTTGTAGCTTCTCTTTTTTGGTGGAAAAGTCATTCTGGAATCAAAATTTGATTCTGGAAGCAAAAAAAAGAATGTGTTTTTACCAAACACATTTTTTTTTCCAGAATGCAAAAATTACTCCAGAATGCATTCCGGAAATTTTTTAACAAACGCATTTCTGTTCCGGAATGCATTCTGGAGCAGAAATTTTGCTCCAGAATGGATTCCATGCGCGCCCTTTAAAAGTAGCTTCTCTCTTCCCGGAACTCATTCTGCCCTCATTTCCTTTTCTTTCTCTTCCTTCGTTCTCTCTTTTGGAGATCATTCTAGCCCTAATTTCTTTCTTTGTCTTCCATCTCGTTCAACTCTTCAATTTCGTGCCCTCCCCTTCCCTCCCCGCGACTACACCGGAACGGCCACTGCACGCGGCGGCGATCGATTTTGCCCTCCCTATATCTCTGCCTCTTCAGTTTCGTGCCCCCCATCCCTCCTCGCGACTGTACCAGAGCCACCACCTCACACGGCGGAGATCGATTTGGCTCTCCCTGGTGAGTCTTTGATTCCTCCAACTGTTTCACCTCCTCTCGTTAGCTTTTTCCTTCGGTACAATCCGCTGTGTGCGACGTGGCCGCCCGTTTAGGGCACGCGGCCCACGCGAATCTCGCTCGATCGAGTCAGAACGAGGGAACGAGACGCCGCGGAGTGGTATGGCGAGAACTTGATTAGCATGTTGCGGATTGAGGTTGAGATTGAAGTTGAGCCGTGGGATTTCGGTTTCGAAAGGGCTATGATGTGTGGGTTGTGCACCCTAAATCGGTTTGTTTCGTCATTCGTGTCTGGCTCTGCGGTTCACGGCGAATTGCCGCAAGTAGTAAAAGCTTTTGTCTCGTTTTTATGTGGGTTATCATTTGTAGGCGGCATCTCGAACACTGGCTTTAGTTTTAGCACAGGCACTAGATGATGGGTTTACCTCGGGATGTTTAAATTTTATGGATTGGGAGGACGGCTTACAAGTGAAAGATAGCTTATCGACCTGAGATAGTTAGTTCATTCTCTGGTTGACGGTGCAATTCAGAATCTGGTTTGCACTTGAACTAAATTTGTGCCGTTAAATGTCAAGGGAACTTCCGATAAAAAAATGTCAAGGGAACCGTGCATATTATGAGTAAAGCTTGCTGGGGCTGGTTTCATGAATCTAGATGCCACGGAGTTGTGCAAATCTCATAAATCTTCATGTTCTTAGAGTAATGTTTAGTACTTAGGTAAATGATGTCTACCTGTGTGCACACGAAGACTAGTCCTGTACACCAAATGATAACAGTTCAAGTGCAGTCTCTTTTGAATTGAATAACTTAAAAGCTGTTGAAGTGGCTCCAGGGGCAGTGTTTCTTCATGTCCTTTCCTTCCTTTAGATACAATTTTCAAGCAGTCAAATGTTACTTGAGATAATAACCCGATTTTACAAATCAAACAGGCATTTTTCTCGCACAAACCAGATTCTGGAGAACATCGGACTTGATCCCGCATTCGAGATAGTGAGTTCATTCTCCGATTTTACAAATCACTCTTTGGTTGACGATGCAGCTTGACTTGGGACTTGTTTCAAATTTTAGCATAATTTTTTTTAACGTGAGTTCATTTCGACTTTTTTTTGCATGTTTCCACTAGTAGGCAAGCCCCTTACATAATTTGATATATGGACTATGCATCTTTTATGTTCTCTTTGATTGAATAGTGACTATCAAGTTTGGCTGGTGGTGTACTTCGTTTCTCAATAGCTTGAAACTAATGACATTAGGGTGTGAAATTCTCTGCTCAGGTACAATTTATGTTCTCTTTTGTAGATGTGCTCCTCTATTTAATTCTTGTTTGTTTGTTGAATCGTCATTACCAGCATTTGCCCCTGAAATTTCATCGATTTTACATAAATGGAATCCTCCAAATGCACGTACATGGCAAAGTGGACTGAGCCGTTGACCGAATTGTTTGTAAGTCTGATGGTAGATGAAGTAAAAAAGGGAAATCGCACGTCATGTACCTACAACAGAGTTGGGTGGATTAACATTGAAAAAGAATTCAATGAACAAACAGGACTTCACTTTAGTCTAACACAGTTCAAGAACAAGGCACATAAACTGAAGAGACAATATGGTAGTTTTAAGAAACTGCTTTCAACAACGGGATTTGGATGGGACGATGACAGCAAGAGGGTTGTTGTGGACGATGAAACTATTTGGGCAAATCACATTAAGGTGATGTTACTTACTTAGGTCATCTTATTATTGTAACCTCAAATTTCAGATTTATAAAATGTTGAGTACTGCCTGACATTATTTTGAAAATGGTGTAGGATAATACTGAATGGGCCAAGTTCAGGAAGGACGGATTTCCTTTGTATTCACAGCTTTGTGTTGTGTTTGGGGATACATACGCCACTGGGGAGTTTGCAATAGGAAATGCGCAAAGCGTGGCACCGTCGGAGGGTACAGGTGACAGCGGTGGTGGTGGTGACAATGATGTTCATGTCAACCTAAGCGAACCTGAACTGTTTTTCGAAACTCAAGTTGATGCGGAACAATTTAACGTGCCGACGAGCCCACCTCCAAAAAGTCACATGTTGGATAGGACTCCAAATGCCAAGAGGAGGAGAAAGAGCAGTTCGCATTCATTTGACGCGACTTGCAAAGCCATTCAAGAGATGATCAAAGCTAAGACGGTTCAAACATCAAGTGCCTCCGTCACCTCACAGTCCTCAACACCTATGGACCCTTACTCTATAGCAACCGTGGGTGCTGTCCTAAATGCCATGCATGACTTGGACAAGGCTCTTTACATCAAAGCTATGAAACATGCTGTCATTAATGCCTCTTGGAGAGAGGGCTTCCTAACATGTCTTCCCGAAATGAGAGTTGCCTTTATTGAGGCTATGGATGAGTAGTTAGGGGCTGTTGAGTAGTTGTTGGGCTATAGTATGCCGTTTTATGTTTGAGTTCATTTCGGCTTTTCACTTATGTATTTCAGACATTGACTTGTCTTTATGACTATGCGTTTGTGATGATGTTGAAACTTTGCTTTAATGTGATTGAATTCCATAATTATCTATTGAGTGATATTAAATTCCCAACATATCAGTTCAAATGTATTGGCTTCCCTACTGACATGTTGAGTTTGTCTTCTTCTCTCGGATGATGGCCTAGGTAATATGGAAGGGGGTCAAAGTAGCTGGTCTAATGATCAAGTAGCATCAAGTGAAACAATTGTATCAGGTGAACAAGACTTTGATGAGGACGAGTTGAAAATATTGTTGGCATGGTTGTGTATTGCTTGGTTGCATAGGTCCATGCACAGGACAGAACGTATTAGGGACAGCGTATTGACAGGACCCCAATGGGTTAGCGAGCTTCTTCATGAACATTCAGATAGAGTATACGAAGCATTTAGAATGGAAAGACATGTTTTTCTTAACCTTTGTGGTTTGCTCAAGTCAAGAGGTTGGTTGGCAGGCAGTCGATATGTTAGGGTAGATGAACAGGTTGCCATGTTTTTATTAATGATTTGTCACAAGAACTCCAACAGAGCTTTATGTGAGAGATTCCAATGTTCAGGAGAGACTGTTAGCAAGTACTTTGCAGCGGTGTTGAAAGCTGTTTTGGAATTGGCGAAGGAGATTATCGTACCTCCTTCATTTGATGTTGTCCCAGAAGAAATTCAGATTGAGCCAAAGTTTAATCGTTACTTCAAGGTATGTTTTTCGTACATTTCCATGCACCATTTGATTAGTTTTGCTCACAATCTTCAACATCTTATTCAAGTTCATCAACACCATCCTCTTCAAATAGTGTCGATGAACCGCTAGTGCCAAGATCAAAAAGATTGTCTAAAATTTACGAAGCTACCGAAGAGCTTCATCTTATATGTCTTCTTGCAGATTATGAACCACTTGCTTATGATGATGCAGCCAAAGAAGAAAAGTGGAGGAAAGCCATGAACGAAGAAATTGAAGCCATCGAGAAAAATCAAACATGGGAGCTTGCTAATCTTCCGAAGGACAAGAAATCAATTGGTGTTAAATGGATGTACAAGGCCAAGAAGAATGAGAAAGGTGAAGTAACAAGGTACAAAGCTAGATTAGTAGCGAAGGGGTACAAGCAAAAAGTCGGAATCGACTATGATGAAGTTTTTGCCCCTGTCATCCGCATGGAAACGATTAGATTGATTATTTCCATTGCTGCTCAAAATAATTGGCGGATTTATCAAATGGATGTCAAATCAGCATTCTTGAATGGCATCCTTGAAGAAGAAATTTATGTTGAACAACTCGAGGGGTTTGTTGTGAAAGGTTATGAAGACAAAGTGCTAAGGTTGAAGAAAGCTCTATATGGGCTTAAACAAGCACCGAGAGCATGGAATTCCAGAATTGATGCATATTTCAAGGCGAATGGATTTTCTCAATGTCCATACGAACATGCACTCTATTTGAAGCAAGAAAAAGGTGATATTCTACTCGCATGTTTATATGTTGATGATCTTGTTTTTACAGGAAATAATTCGGCGATGATTGATGCTTTTAAGGCATCGATGGTGAAAGAATTTGAGATGACCGATAATGGTCTCATGAATTATTTTCTTGGTATCGAAGTGAAGCAAAGTGCCGATGGGATTTTTATTTCTCAAAAAGGATATGCAGAAAATATCCTTGAAAAATTCAACATGAAGAACTGTATGTCGGTCAATACACCAATGGAGTGTGGAACCAAGCTTTCGAAGTTTGATGATGGTGTTGATGTTGATTCGACATATTATAGAAGCTTGATTGGAAGTTTGAGATACTTGACATGCACGAGACCAGATATTATGTATAGTGTTGGAATTGTGAGTCGATACATGAAGAAGCCGAAATCATCTCATCTTAAAGCTGTAAAGAGAATACTTCGGTATATCAAATGTACTATTTCTCATGGTTTACACTATTATTGCTCTAAATCTTTCAAACTTAG